CTTTTTTTGAGAGCACTTCACAACGACATGAAATTATATTTTCTCACATCTGCAATAGTGCATCAACGAATACGTAAATGATCATTTTTTAAGCGATCATCGAAAAAAAATGTTCTTATGGTATTGTCGGTCTTAACTAAGGTTTTAGAGAATCCAGGAGGATATTTTGCAGCAAACTCAGCAGACTCCAATCGTTCCAAATTATCCTATACAGCAAACTAATCGACAATACACTCCCAATAACGCTCAGCAACCAACTAGACAAGTATAATTTTTGTTTTAGCTATATATCCAATTAGAAGTTACAAAGTGAACTTGAATTCGAATTTATTATGAGGAATTTTAGACTGCTCAAAATGTGAATCCAGCCCAACCTATTCCACAGCAACAAGTAAGACTGGCACAACAACCCGTTTACGTGGTAACTATTTATATTGTTGGAGATGTTTTTCCTCAATGATTTCTTGCCTTAAATGTATGAGAGAGAGTATTTTGGCATCAAAGAATGCCACGTTTCGATTATTATTGATTGCATTTACCCAAAAGATATTGAACGAAGTAATTCTTTAGGATGTACTGACTTCAGCTATATAGGTATGAATTCTGCAAATAATTAACAGGGTATTCTGAGATGTGATCAGGAAGCAGTGTGATGTTGTTGCTGATTGATTCACTTTTATAAGCTGATCAAGATAAAACCAGTTGAATGGAATGAAAGTTTTTGATAAGATGATGACAGAGTTTGATCATCTCGAAATATGATACGGTTAAACGTAAAAGCTGAATCGACAGGCATTGAAACCATTTTTTGCGTCATTTTCAGCCTCAACCCCAGGCTGTCTGCGTAACAACTCCAAATTATTGTGGTGGCGGTTGTCACGGTTGTTGCTATGATAGCTGTTGTTGTTGTTATGACTGTTGTGATTATCCATGGTGGTGGTGGTGGTGGTGAACAAGTTAGTGATTGAGTTTTGACGATCACTTCACAATTGACTATGAATGTTTATTGATCAGGATGTAATGGATCATGATTATTGAAATCTGAGATCTATCTCAGCATTTTTTTGACCGAAACAAGGAATTTCTTCCGAATTATTGGGTATTACTCGGAATGTCAAGCTGTCGAACAAATATCATGTTGCTGCTGGCTAAAATGCTGCATTATCATAGATGTCGGTAGGGTAGAATCCTTAAAAACTTTGCAGTATGTAATATACATTCAAATAGCGCGAATCCTTCATGCGTCGTTCATTTTGCAAGAAACTGAAGTATATTTTCCAAAACTGTTTCATTTTTCAGCAGATCCGACATTCAAAATAATTGTCACTGTCAAAACTGATCAGCAATGAAGAGGTCAGCAATTTTCATGCGCCTTCAATAAACTCACTGCATTCAGCGAAAATGTTCATATTTATTGTGCCGAAACACCTTCTCAATCTTTTTGAAGGTCATTTTAATCGCTCTCGTTCAGCGATTCCATAGCAAATTCTCATTTCAAATTTATTTTTCACATTGTGACAGTTGAATATTTTTGATTGCTCTCATTCGTGTGCATGCACTCCTTTTTGGTGCTGTATCGATTCAGTGAGTGAGTACAAACAGATCCAACGGTTGCGATAGTAACTAACTTGCCTATCAATATGATTGCAGTAACCAGGAATTACCGTGGATGGTTCAAGAAAGAAGGTGACGTATGAAGATCCGCAATATCCAACTGCTATTTTCAAGATATACCAATCATTCGCGAACGATATGAAATAATCGAATACTAGCATTCTTAATTATGCATAAAAAGTTAATCCTATTGTTTCTGTAATGCGAGCACTTGAATGTACTGGATTATATTTATGATATGACTGTCAGCACCACATTACACAACACATATGACATGCAATTTTATAATTTGAGCGTGGATATAATCTCCGAAAATCTGAGNATCTGATAAATCTGAGAAAATACCGAACGAAATTGTTTCATGACATCTTGGATTCATGCCTCAGACCCAATATACTTGCTCGTATCTTGAGTGAACTTCTCACGAAACCACAGGAATAACAGTCATCGAATGATGTTGTGCAATTAGTCTGACATGACGTTTTTGGTATTTCTCGTATTTACTGTTTGGTTCAGTAGTTCAGGATTTGTAGTTTGAAGCGTTGATCTTCCGTAAGATTTTGACATTGATGAGGCAATTGCATAGTCATATTCGAAAATTTACATCTCAATAACATCAATTAAAGTGTATGGGTGGATAACATGTCGGATGTTCATAGTTAGAATGAACCATCGTATCAAATTTATCTGCAATCTGAAATTGACGACTTTCGTTTGCGGTCGGTTTCAAGAATTGCAATCTGAAGTCGTAAACGAAGTCTCGTATTCCACTCACTCGATTCGATTTGTTATTGTGAGTATATTGGTGAAGGTGACGGGGTCATAGAGCGAATGAGCCAAATGAATTGGATGGAACGCGGTCAGTTGCGGTCGTTATTAATGGGCACTTGACCAAACGATCAACAAAACTATTCAGTAAGAAATTCATCGTTGAACCGATTGAAATATGCGCTGATGGTATCAATGGATTTATGAAATGTTAATCTAATCAGTTCACATTGTTGTTATCGACTTTGTGAAGTGGATACGGCATGAATTTTGGTCATTTGACGGACAATACGTTAATTGGGTCATTTTGCACGCTGAACCTCAATCATTCATTATCTAGTAAACAATTGCGCAATTCACTCGATCATTTCACGTGTTGCATTCATCGAGTTATATCAAATCCAATCAAATTGTGTCGCATCCAGTTGAAATTAAATCTCTTATGAACTATTGCTATGGCATATTTCAGTCGTAAAATATCCAGACGTATGATACCATTTCTCAGCAACATTCCACTTGATCAATTGGAGCTGATATTCGGGAAATCTTTGTGAAATTATTAGCAGTACTATTATTTGACAGGAGATTGTTATCGGATTTGCTACTAAGAATAACGTTGGTACCATTATTATTGTTACTGTTAACGTTATTGTTATCAATAACAGTGTTATTTTTGGTGTTATCAGTGCCTACTGTTGTTCAAAACATTTAAACCGTTATGTACGAATTTGGCTATCGTAAGTTTGAAGGCTTGTTTGCAGCCAGACATTTTGAAAGCATTCAGCTCAATTATGAATTCCTATCTATGTAATGGATTTAGAAGGAGTATGACGACGCGTAAACATTTCGAAGCTTGTTGTGTTCACAATTAGGATATTTTAGACGAGTAGGAAACAGAATTATGCATTTCTCGAGATGTTTGTATGCACTTTCCGCATTTATCATCAAGATCAATCGCTATTGATCGAATCGATCATGTGTTAATCTAAACCATCTTGATAATTGAAGGTTAACTTTTTAAGCGAAACATTTAAAAATTTTCAGGGAGAAACTCTTTGAATGAAGAGTTTCTTAATGAATTAATTAATGGTACGTCATCTTTTGAGCAGTCATTACTCATTTCTTTGAGATGCGTTTTTCATTGACATTCAGTTTCGTTGTTAGTTTATTGTACTCTTCGATGTCACTTACCTTACTAAATGTCCTTCAAGATGTTTTGTTTCACCTTCATTTCTGTTTTGCTGTATTCGTGCTGACTTTGATTTAGCATTAACGAGTATATCGACGATCGCGTTTTAACGATGATGATTTCATTACCGAGCGACTTCGGTCGATTTTTGCAATAGAGACTTATAGTAGTTGTACGATTACTTGTAGTTACGATTACTTGTAGTTACGATTACTTATAGTTGTAGTTATTGTGATGCTGTGTAGGTTACACTTCGATATTGTGAAGTTTGTTGCAAATAATACTTGGACGCTTGGATGGAACAACCAATTTGTGTTCTATTATCATATTCAGAGGAAATTGTTGCTTCAGTCGCTTCCTTGAGAGGGCTTCAAGTAGTTTTTGACACTGGCTTTAAAATCAGGCAGAAGATAGCACATACAATTCAGAGTAAGACATGGTCATACTCGCCATGATGCATTTATTGCGCTTAATTTGCGCTAGTGTGTGATTTGAACGAGAAAATTATATCTACAATTAATCAACAATTATCGTTTTAGCACAAGAATGACCAGTGAAATGGAGAACAGTCTCAGTCTTTCGACAGGAACGAAAACTTCAAAGAGCAAGAAAAAAGAAAAGAAAGGAATTCTCAGAAGTTTATCATTTCAGGTGAGTATTCTCACTCTGAAATCATTTACTAGCGATGGTCGTACTCAATCTTTTCACGTTCAGTTTTTGAATGTGAAAAGATTCGAATTATCCTTTTCGATTCCTAACTCCGAATTAACGGAAATTATTCGTACTTAAAGGGCAAGTAATATGTGGCGTACAATATTTCAGTTCAGCAGTTCATTAAACAAAAGAAAACAAAAGGTATCGGAAGCGAACAACACTGCTGACCAAAATGTCCAGCAAACACCACCAACGAGTGATTACCAAGCACATGAAGTTGACGACAAATCGATGAATCACTCGAATCAAGGTGTGCAATGTTATGGACATTTACTCAAGCAATACAAACGACGTAATCGTTCCGCTTGTTGGAACAAACGGCAAGTTTCATCGAGCGATTCCACAATTAATACAAAATATTCACCTCAAATAGGTGATTTTCATCTCAAATAGGTGATCTGTTCACGTGTCATATTCATTATCATTGTCGAGCGGTCGTTGTGCACTTTATGAAATTAACAAATTGATCGACTTTCGACTGGATATATCACTGTTTCATAGAAGCTGCTTTTTACAGATGCACACCACATCGAATGCTCAATATTTCAGGTTCTTCATTTTGAAGGAATGTTTCCTCATTTACTATAAAGCTTCAATGAAGAAAGTTTTCGAGAAAACGCGACGAATTGGTCTCCATCCAAAGGTTTGCTAATTTCTTTCAAAAATTCACATCTTCTCGTTTGCTCACCGGTTCATAGTGAACGAACTGTTCGTTTGCTAATGCATGCCTGAGAATGGATCGATAGCGCTAGCTGGAATCAATTTCAGGGTATAATTCCACTGGTTGGATGCTCAATAGTGCCAGGTCAGGATCACGGACACAAGCACTGTCTGCTGATAACACATTCTCAGTTCAAGGCAGCCATAATTGTGTGTGCCAATGACGCAAAAACACAAGACATGTGGCTGAAAGCTCTTCGAGAGGCCACAAATATGTCAGTTTCGTTCAATTCTCTAGGCCAAAATCTTGAGGTGTATGCTCTCACTATGGCAATGTGACACCTTCAAATCATCAGTTTGCTTAGTCTAACATTTTAAGATAATATATCTTCTATAACTTAATTCATGACATAAGGAAAGGATATGTTTCGTTAAAGAGATCATTCAGTTTATATAAGGTCACGCCTCATTCTGGAAAATATACCAATTGTAAGGTGCTGTGCAATCCCGCTATATCGCCTTTCTCTTTTCTGTACTTATAATCTCTTCAACGACCATTTAGCCCAGGTGGAAATTTATCA